TTGGGGAGAGTAGGTTGGGGGGTGTTCGGGCTGGGTCGGTGTTTCGGTGCTCGGGATGGGTTGGTGGTTGGGGTGAGTAGGTGGGGGGGTGTTCGGGCTGGGTCGGTGGGTGCTGGGGTGTTTGGGTTCTTGGGGTGGGTTGCTGGGTGCTGGGTGCGGGTCGCTGGGTGCTGGGGCCGGTCGGTGGCTCGGGGATGGTCGGTCGGTTGGTCGGTTGGTCGGTTGTTCGGTGGTCGGGGTGGGTTGGTGGTTGGGGTAAGTAGGCGGGGGGGTGTTGGGGCTGGGTCAGTGGGCGCTTGGGGCCGGTAGGTAGGTGCTTGGGGCAGGTCGGTTGGGTGCTGGGGCCGGTCCGTGGGTGCTGGGGCGGTCCGTGGGTGCTGGGGGCGGGTCGCTCGGTGGTGGGGGCGGGTCGCTGGGTGCTGGGGGCGGGTAGCTGTGTGCTGGGGGCTGGTCGGTGGGTGCTGGGGCCGGTCGGTGGGTCGGTGCTTCGGTGGTCGGTGGGTCGGTGCTTCGACGTGCGATGTAAAAATTCTGACGCGCGAGTGACTAAGTCGTGAAGCGTGAGACGTCCGGTGTAAAATTCTGATGCGGCTGACGCGGCGCGCCTGACGCGTTTGTTTTGTTTCGGGCGAGCATCTCGTTTTGTTTTTTGAGTTTTGCTTTTTGCTTTCTTTTATCGTTACTTTTGGAAAAGAGGTCGTGCTCTCGAATCCTGGCGGGCCTGTTGGGTCCGGCGTTTGATTTTCTTTTGGGCGAGTGCGGTTTCGTTTGGGGTCGGTGGGTGGGTGCTTGGGGTTGGTCGGTAGGTGCTTGGGGCATGTCAGTTGGGTGCTGGGGCCTGTCTGTGGGTGCTGGGGCCGGTCCGTGGGTGCTGGGGCCGGTCGGTGGGTGCTGGGGCCGGTCGGTGGGTGCTGGGGCCGGTCGGTGTCTGGGGGATGGTTGGTCGGTGGGTCGGTGGGTCGGTACGTCGGTGGTGTGGGTGCCTCGGTAGGCCGGTGGGCGGGTGGTTGGGGTGAGTAGGTCGGGGGGTGTTCGGGATGGGTCGGTAGGTCGGTGGGTCGGTACGTCGGTGGTGTGGGTGCTGGGGTGGGTTGGTGGTTGGGGTGAGTAGGTGGGGGGGTGTTTGGTCTGGGTTGGTGGGTGATGGGTCGGCTGTGGGTGCTGACCCAGCGAGTGGAGCGCCGGTCCTGACCTGCTGCGCCTGACGCGCAGCGAGTGGAGCGCCGGTCCTGACGTGGCGCGGTTTTTTTTGTGTTTTTTTTTTTTTGCGATTTCGCGTTGTTGGTTGCTGCGAGCGGTTCGGTGGTGCTTTGTGTTCGGCGGGGTCGGTGGGCGGGTGCTTGGGGTGAGTCGGTGGGGGGGTGCTCAGGG